ACTAATCTAGGTAAAGAGTAATCACTGGCAAAGTAATCCTTCCACTGTTTACTTCTTGAGAACACCAGGGGCTGGTGAAACAGAAGGCATGAGAAACTGGAAATCACATTGCTGTTGTTAGAAGTAACAGAGACACCCATTAATTCTTGTCTAGCAGCTTAACTCCGGAATATTCTATGAGACCAAGGAAATTTCAGTTTCATTCGAGTCATTTGATGTTCTTCTGACAGATTATCCCATGCCATAAATAGTAATCAGTCCTTGTTGCTTTACAAAATGAGTCATTTATGGGCCAGAGGGATAGTACAGAGGTTAAGGTGCTTGACTTGTACACAGTCAACTCTGTTTCAATCCCTGGTGACACATATGGTCTCCTGAGCACCACAGGAGAGATCCTTGATATATTTTCCATATCTAAGCTCTTCAACACAGTCTGATTTTATCCTTTACCACATCTTCATCTCTTTAGTCCCAATTTACTCCCCTTTTTCTCCATATATTATTGTTAATTAAGATAATTAACAAGTTTAAACTTTAAAATTAAATTTAAGTTTAATTTCCAGTACATTTGTTGAAGAGACTCTCCTTTCTAATTATTTAATCCTGGTAAATTTATTGAGGTCATTTGCCATTATATCAATGAATAATTTCTTGGATCTCTTTTGTTCTCACAGTCCAGATGCCTATATTTATGCCAGTGTCACATTCTTTTGATTTCTGTAGCATTAAAATGCATTTTAAAATTAGAAACTCTATTTCAAGATTTCTATGGCTTTTTGAAATAATTTGCGGATCCATATGAATTTTAATGTATTTTTTATTTTATGAAATTAATGCACTGATTAATCAGTAATTCTGATTACTTTGAGTAGAATGGACATGTTAAGAAGTTATTGTCTAATAGATAAATGTAGTATGTTTTTCTATTTATTTGTGTCTAATTTCATTTCTTTCAACATATTGTATAGTTTTCGTGATTAGGCCTTTTGTGCCTTTGAGGTTTTTGTTCCTTTGTATTTTGTCTTTTTATCATGTCACTAAAATTATCTCTATTAGCAAATGAAATTACATAAACTCTGAAGATTGCACACTACAGAGCTCAAAAATTGTCAGAACTAATGAGTGACTTCAACTAAGTTACAGGATATAAAAATGGACACTTGCATTTCTATACACTAATAACAAACAATCCGAAAAAGATTTTGGATTTTTATCACTCTGCCAGAATATTTTAGTGTATTTTGATTGTTGATATTGAAAGGTTATTGACACACTTTGGTGTATCTTCGTATACATATATGCATATACATATATACATATATATAGAGTGCCGTTCTCTATTCGCGGGTCTTGGTTTTTGTTTCCTTTTTATTCTTTCAATTTTTCTTGCCATTTCTGGTATTAATAGAATTTATGTAATTCTATTTCTTCTGTCTTAACACATTAATTATGTTTTCTTTTGTCTCAGTTGGTTACTTTAGAATTAACTTTGCTGCTTCATTCATACTGAAAGTATGTTATGGATCTTTCTCTAACTTTCCCCTTCTCTCGTAACATCCCAGCATTCAAATTACTTTCTTTTTCATTCTTTTTTCATAATTTATGAATTTTTGTTTACAATAAGGGCTTCTCCTGGACATAATTCCAACATCATACCCGTTTCCCTTCCCCAAGGCTGCTAGTTTTTTGTTGGTTTTTTACATAACTCATTACCTGTTACTTGCAAATGAAAATAAGCAACTAGAAGGAGATAGAACTCAAGTGCATGCAGCCCTTGTGGTTCTCAGTCATTGCATGAAACTGCCGCATTCACCTTTCACTAGACTCCCCAGTGACGCAGTCCAGCACTGTAGGACCAAAGGCCCTAAACAACTCCAATTCCTCAGGCCGCAAAACCTTAACATTGGGCAATGAGCCCAGAGGGAGCCTTGCTTGGGAGCTGTCTACCCCCAAGAATAGCTCTGTAGCACTGTCCTCCCATTGTTCATCGATTTGCTCAAGCGGGCACCAGTAATGTCTCCGTTGTGAGATTTATTACTGTTTTTGGCAGATGAATATTGCACGAGGAACTTGCCAGGCTCTGTCGAGAGGGCAGGATATTCTCAGTAGCTTGCTGGGCTCTCCGAGAGGGATGGAGGAATCGAATCCAGGTCAGCCTCAGACGCCCTGCCCACTGTGCTATCGCTCCATCACCTCCAAGAGTAACACTGCACTGTAGCATTGTCCTCCCGTTGTTCATCGATTTGCTCGAGCGGGACCAGTAATGTCTCCATTGTGAGACTTGTTGTTACTGTGTTTGGCATATCGAATACATCACAGGTATCTTGCCAGGCTTTACCGTGGGGCGGGGGGAGATACTCTCAGTAGCTTGCTGGAATCTCTGAGAGGGGCAGAGGAATCAAACCCAGGTCAGCCTCGTGCAAGGCAAACGCCCTACCCGCTGTGCTATCGCTCCATCACCCCCAATAGTAACAGAATAAAATATTTGTTTCCATTTTCCTTTTCACTTCTTTATCTTTAGGTTTGTCTTTATTTAGATATGAATTCCTGATATGCATTTTTCACCTTCCTGGTGGATTTCTTTTAACATTTCTATAAGGCAGATTTGCTGAGCAACTATTTCTTCAATTATTTCTCAAAAACTTGTTCCTTCTTAGCTTCTTTTTAAAGCTTAGTATTATAGGATTTGCTTTTATAAAAGTCACTGTCACTGTCACTGTCCTCCCATTGTTCATCAATTTGCTCGAGCGGGCCCAGTAAGGTCTCCATTGGAGACTTTGTTGTTACTGTATTTGGCATGTGTATTGGCAAATATTAAAAAAAAAAAAAGGCCCTCCCGTTGATCATCGATTTGCTCGAGCGGGCCCAGTAACGTCTCCATTGGAGACTTTGTTGTTACTGTGTTTGGCATATCGAATACATCGCGGGTGGCTTGCCAGGCTCTGCCATGTGGGCGAGATACTCTCGGTAGCTTGCCGGGCTCTCCGAGAGGGGCGGAGGAATCGAACTCGGGTCGGCCATGTTGGCTGCATGCAAGGCAAATGCCCTACCGCTGTGCTATCGCTCAATGTATCCAACATCAAAAACACACATCTTCCAGAACTGATGCTTTTCTTTTTTTTTTTACACACATCCTCCAAAATTGATACTTTTCTTCTTTTTTCATGTCTTGTTTTACATTACTCAAATTAAAAGAAAAATTATTTTGGTCATCATTGTTTAAAAACTGTGATTATTAGTATTTTATACATGAACTATTCCAGCACCACACCCAGGTGTCAAATCTACCCCCATAATGGCCCCAAGGCCCCTCCCCCACCCCACCTCACCTCCTGGTAAGCTCCCCATTGGCAATTTGTTATTCTCCAATTTGATTCTTGTATCCTGACAACCTGGATTTTATTCCTGGTACCATGTCAGGTAGCTTTGCATCACCATGGGTCACACCCCCCAGCACAGATTTTGAAATAACCCCTGAGCACCGCAGTGTTAGCCCAAATTCAAACATGCTAATTCTTAGAAGAAAATTTCAAATTAAAAAATCAGTATTTCTGGTTGGAAATATGCTTTACTTTTCACCTCAAATTCTGTTTAATATTTTAATGTATGAATTCTAAAAAAAAGACCCTTAATTACTTTTTTAGCATATACACCATGTTGCTTCTCCAGATAGGCATGTTTCCCATAATAGGTTTCAATTTAAGTTGAAAAAAATCACCTGATTGTTGTAATGAGAATTACATTTGTAATTAAACTGCTAATGCTTTATAGACTTATTCAGAAATGTGGCATATAAGCAAAAGAAAGAAGTAGTCTAGTAATTTCCTATGTAATAAATATCACATTTTGTTGTTTAAAAATTTTTGTGTGACTTGATAGAAAACTAATCCATATCTATTGCGTATTCTCTCTCTCTCTCTCACTCTCTCTCTCTCTCTCTCTCTCATTTTATTTTGCTTTTTCCTGTCTGTTCTCAGAGTAGCTCCATGATTTAGGGGAATGTGTTAGTGAATTACAGATAACACGAGGGAGTGATACTAAACATCAGTGCCAAGACTCACCAATTCACTTAACTTTTGTGCTGTTTTCCTTTAGAACAAAAGTCCAAACTACTCCCTGAACCTGAGATATGTGCATAATATATGCACGACCCTGCAAAATAGTTGTCATAAATTTTCTTACATCTAAAAATATTAGAACCCAAATGCCTCTGCTGTTTGCATTTTGACTTTGTCGAACAAAAACTTCAAGTTTTTTTTTTGTTTTGTTTTGAAGATTTTAAAGCAGTGGGGTGTGGTGCGCATGCATGCGTGCGTGTGTGTGTGTATTTCCGGATCTATGCTATATTTTCATTTTTCATCTATGGTGAAACAGAGAGGGGCACATATACGATATGGATGGGAAGGAGGAGCAGAACGCCGGAGGATGGTAGGAACTGGAGGAAGTCTGGGACTCAGGGTTTATAAGGAAGAATCTCAGCAAACCATGAGGAGGAAATAGCTCCCTTCTGTGTTTAAATAAGCCCGTCTTAGGACCAAGCTCCTGCTAGGAGCTTGGAAACACTAGAGAGACGTCTACACGGAAGTGACTCGTGTATTGCCCATGTATCTGGCCCTTCATTTCACCAGGAAGGACCAATAGGAGGACATGAGTCAGAGAGTCAGAATGAAACAACACCTCTTCCTGCTCATCTGGGGCCTCCAAGGTTGCACAAAAATAAGGAAGGAGCCGGGAAGTCCTGTAATCCAGAAAAAGTCTTTCCCAGGCTTGGGTGTGTTTTCCTAGGGGTCCCTTTGGCAGGGGTGTTGTGGTGGCCAGTGGAAGCAATGAGAACCCGAGCGAGGTTCTGGGACTGAGCAGCCAGCACACTCAGCACACCTCTGGGACTGGACAATCTAGGCAGCGCACTGGGAACCCGCACAGACCAGAGGGCACACCCAGAGGGAGCGAAAAGGGGCGGGACAGGGAGGGGCCGCAGGGTGGCTGTGACAGTAGTGAAGTGACTGCTCAGACCTCACACAGAGAGCAGAGCCACTGGACGTCCCAGGCGTGCTCCCGGCATGGATTCCCTGGTGACTGCGCTCTGGACGGTGCTCCATGCGCGCACTCTCCTGATGGGCGCTGTCGCCTTCCTGTTCTTTGCTTATGTCTTCAGAAAGCGGCGCCCCAAGAACTGCCCACCGGGGCCCTCGATCCTGACCGTCCTGGGAAACCTCCTCCTGGACTTTGAGCAGTTGTGCTTGCGTGTTCAGCAGGTAGGAGCCAGCCGCTAGAAGGGAAAGGGGGCGCGTCCTGACCTTGACCTGCAGGATCCCAGAGCTGGAGAATGAAGCATGTGCTAAGGCCAGAGACCTGGTGACCCAGTGGCAGCCCCATCCTGGTTGTCAGAGTCTTTGGAGGTGTGGAATAGTCCTAAACGGCTACTGATCCCCTTAGAAGAGCTATAGACAGGTTATAGAAAGCTCTGTACCTACTTTCAGGATATGTTATTGGTTTTTGTTTTTATTGAATTGATTACACTTTGAGAATTTTTGTTGTTTTGTTTTGGTTTTGGTTTTAGTTTGGGGGCCAAACCCTGCAATACTCAGGGCTTATTTCTGTTTTTTTTCCCCCGGGATCAGGGGTAACTCCTGAGAGTGCTCAGAAAACCAGCCATATGAGGTGCCAAGAATTGGACCAGATCAGCATGTGTAGGGCCAGTGCCCTACCCACTGTACTACCCACTGTACTATAGTCCCATTGAATTATTTTGTCATTAGTGTATTGCTGTTAATTTGCTTTATTCACAGAAATTGGATCTATAGGTTGTTTTTTACCAAATTTGAGAAGTTTTAGGGCATTACTGTTTGAAATATTTTTCTCTATAATCTCTTTCTTTAGTCTCCTTCCCTGTACCCTGATATTAGAAATGTTGGGCCTTTGGTTTCTCACACGTGGTTCCTGGAGCTCCGTATCTGCTTTTTACTTTTTTCAATATGTTTTACTCTTGCTTAGATTGGAAACTTTCCATTGATCTGTTTTTATAGTCATAAATTTTTTTTCTTTACAACACTGCTATTAAGCTCTTGTTGAGTTCTCATTTAGGTTGTATTTTTACCTTAACCCCACTTCTCTTTTTCCTTTCTCTGACCTCCTCTTTAAGCCCAGTTCTCTCTCTCTCTCTCTCTCTCTCTCTCTCTCTCTCTCTCTCTCTCTCTCTCTCTCTCTCTCCCCCAAACCACTCTCCCCAAACCCACCTTTTTTTTTTAACAGAGGTACAAATCCGGGTGGAGCAATAGCACAGCAGTAGGGCGTTTGCCTTGCGCGCAGTCAACATGGCCGAGCTGGTTCGATTCCTTCACCCCTCTCGGAGAGCCTGGCAAGCTACTGAGAGTTATCTCGCCCGCACTGCAAAGCCTGGCAAGTCCCCGGGGATGTATTCGATATACCAAACACAGTAACAACAAGTCTCATGATGGAGACGTTACTGGGCCCGCTCGAGTAAATAGATAAGCAAAGGGAGAACAGTGCTACAGTGTTACAAATCCAAGTCCCTTGGGTACTTATGCACATCTATTTAGAAATATTTCCCTTCTTACAAGAGTTGTGATTGTTCATCAAGCCATGTTTTAGCATCTTTATAGTTTCAACATCTCAACATCTCAGTATTTGTGACAACTCACTCAAGTTGGAATTTTTCTTATTTTTGGTGCCACAAGTAACTTTGACTATAGAGTGGACCTTTTTATGTTATATATCAGACACCATGTTAATCTTTCCTTCCAGCAGACAATCAACAGCAAGTTCAGAATGCTCAAAGTTCAGTGTAGGCAGTAAAGTCTCTCTGGTTTCCTCTTCCCCTTCTAGCTCAGGCTGGAGAGAAGGAAAATGGGGTCTAATGGCAGGGACTCTGGATATTGTAGCCTCTTTCTTACAGCCACACCCCTAACCGTATCTGTTTTATGGTTTTAAGGAATGCACCCTTATTTCCTTTGTGCCTGTGTTTGTTTGGGTGCCACATCCCAGTTTTCAGGGGTTACACTTGGTTTTGTTTCAGGGATCACCCCTGATAGTACTCAGACAGGCCATATGCAGTGCATACCAGGCATTCATCATAACCCCACTACTCTCTCTCTCTCTCTCTCTCTCTCTCTCTCTCTCTCTCTCTCTCTCTCTCTCTCTGTGTGTGTGTGTGTGTGTGTGTGTCTGTGTATCTCCCTCCCTCACTTTCTGACCCCATCCTAATTTTTAGAGTACAAATCTAAATTGTTTCCCACGCCCCTCCAGAGAATCTTTGCAGAACTCAGGAGTGGTAACCAGCTGCTGCAGATTTCTAGTGAGACCAGTTTCCACCCAGAGAAGCAGCTGCAGCCCCCAGAATGGTGAGGGAGGCTCACAGCTTTCTTCACAGCGTTCGTCTCCAGACAGATTTAACAGTTACTAGGGTCTGCCCTATTACATCATCTTTTCTGCTTGCTGATTAAGGAATAGACCACATTTCCTAGAGTTTCTTTTGCCTATGCTCATTTAGACCAAGATTAGGAGGAGGAATAAATTGTGTGATTTGACTCAATCTTGTTTGGCATAGGAAATCTGATTTATTCTCTTGTTTTACGACTAACATAGAAAAGACTAGAATGAAATAGGCTAGTGATAAAAACCAAGGCTGGAATGTCATATCTGGCTTGAAAATTTTCATCAGAGATGTTTGATTTTACTTTAGATAGGGTGGCCTTTAGTATTTTGTTTGTGGTGCTGTTGCTATTGTTATTATTGGCCCTGTCCACTGCAGAGATGTTTAGGGGTCACTTGGTGTTAAGATCATGCAGTAACCCGAACTCGGGGCCTCACTCCCACAAAGCTATACCACTGATCAAAAAAAAAGGTTTTTTTAAGTTTTTAAGCACCATAGGGTTTGCAAAACTTTTAATGGAATGAGTTCACTTTAGTGACACAAAGTAAAATCAGAAAGTTATGAATGGGAAGTTCTGAGGATAACTTCTTGTGTGGTTCTGAAGTAAAGTGGGTGGCCTGAGACATAGGGTACTGATGAAGGCACTTTCCTTGCATGCTTCCAATCCTGGTTCAATTCCAGCACCACATAAGGTCTCCTGAGCCCTACTAGGAGTGATCCCTAAACATAGAGCCTAAGACGCATGGATAGGTGTGGAAGTAAAAAACAACAATAAAATAAAATTAAAAATAAACTCAATAAATTAGGCTCAGAATAAAAAAATTAAAAAGTAAATAACTAGAGCTTGAAAGGAATTTTGGCAAGTGGTTAAGAGGGATCAAGTATCAAATGGGACAATGTGTCATGGCTAAAACTTTGAGAGTACAGTGAAGAAATATGCCCCTTGTATGCCATAATGGAAATTTATTTTGTGTTTTTCATCTTCTACACTCTTCTGTAACTATTAGACTTCACAGTATCACTGTATCACCGTCATCCTGTTGGTCATTGATTTCCTCGAGCAGGCACCAGTAACGTCTCCATTCGTCCTAGCCCTGAGATTTTAACCAGTGCCACATTGGAGGCTCTTTCAAGGTCAGGGGAACGAGGCCCATCATTGTTACTGGGTTTTGGCATATTAAATATGCCACAGGGAGTTTGCCAGACTCTGCTGTGTGGAGAGGATACTCTCAGTAGCCTGCCAGGTTCTCCGAGAGCAAAAACTAGAAAATAAGAGGTCTATTAGACTTAGAGAACTTATTTGCATAGGAGAAAATCTTATTGGAATAAGTGTGAGAATGAGATAGAGCAAATAACTCTGCTAGTTATTTGTAACCATTTATTTTATAATTAGCTAAATAAGGTTGCTTGTAGAAGAGACCTCAAAATTCAACAGTGTAAAACAGAAATGGTTGAAACTTAATTCTCTCACACTAATAAATTCGCATGCAAGCAAACAATCCAGCTTAGTGAAGGTACTTATTCCATAAGTTTTTCCTAAAAAATCTCCAGTTCCTTCTGCCTAGTATCAGGGGTTCTGGGGAATCACTGTGTGTGTGTTGCATGCACACAACACACACATACATATATGTATATATGTATGCATATATATGTATTTACGTATGTATATATGTGTGTATATGCATACATGTATAGAATGATAGCACAGCGGTAGGGCATTTGCCTTGCAAGTGACTGGCCCGGTCAACCGGGGTTCGATTCCTCCGCCCCTCTTGGAGAGCCCAGCAAGCTACTGAGAGTATCTCGCCTACACGGCAAAGCCTGGAAATCTCCCCATGATGTATTTGATATGCCAAACACACAAGTCTCACAATGGAGACATTACTGGGCCCGCTTGAGCAAATCGATGAACAGCAGAAGGACAGTGCTACAGTGCTACATATGTATGTATAAGCGATAGCACAGCAGGTAGGGTGTTCGCCTTACAAGCGGCCAACATGGCCGACCCGAGTTCGATTCCTCCGCCCCTCTCGGAGAGCCCGGCAAGCTACCGAGAGTATTGGATATGCCAGACACAGTAACAACAAAGTCTCCAATGGAGACGTTACTGGGCCCGCTCGAGCAAATCGACGATCAACGGGAGGGCCTTTACCTTTATATATATGCATATCTATGTTTTGATTCATGGAAAGGAAAAAAGAAACTAGGAAAGAAGCTTTCATTTAAAGATGTGTCCCAGAAAAATAAATAAATAAATAAATAAATAAATAAATAAAATAAAGATATGTTCCAGAGTAAGTGCCTGTCTCCACCACCCATCTCCTTTGGTCACATGTGAAAAAGCTGAGAACTATGCTGTTAATAGGAAAGCACTTAACAAGTCATTTTCAACTAGTATGTTTAGAGCCTTTACTACAATAAAAGAGAGAATATACCATTAAAGAGAGAATGTGTTCATTTTCTGATTAGGGCTCACTAATAAAGTGAGTTATGAAAAGCCCAAACATTATGTAGACTAGCTATGTGCTAAATCCTATATGCCTCTTTAAAAAATGAAAATATTTTATAAAACCATTATAAAAATAGGGTAAGATGGGCCAGAGGGATACTACAGCTGGCAAGGACCTCCCCTTGCATGCAGCAGACACCTGTTCGATCCCCAATACCACATATCCCCCCCCCCCCAAACATCACCAAAGAACGTGTCTCTAAGAACAGAGTCAGAAATATCTCTTAGCATGGCTGACATGACCTTACCGCCACCAAAAAGTATCCCAAAAAATAAAATAAGTGGGGAAAGGGAGATAGTTAAAAGAGCTAAAGTACAAGCTTTGCATATGGGAGGTCTGTGCATGGTTTGTT